AGATGAAGGCTTTATTGGATTTCTACACAAGTCCAGACAAAGAAAATTGGTTTTATCCAAGACAAAATGGGGCATCAAGGTCATAATTCTGATTACAACAAGAGTTCTACAAATGAAACGTTTTCTTCTGAGACTTTAATGCAAATGAAGCAAAGAAGACACAAAGATTGCTCTTCCAAACCAGAAATGCCAGCTTGAAATGACATTTTGACCAAGTGAAGGAAGACCGAGTTCACCACTTTGAAATCAAATAAAGATGAACTTAACATTCATGCATCATATTTAGACATTTGCGAAATAGGGGCATTTTCATTCATTTTATCCATGTTAAATATTGACAGGAATTTCAAAGATTTTAGAAAAGATTCGAAATCCATCACTCAATGGATCAACATACCAGATAGAGTTCATAATGAGAACAACTCATCTGAAGAAGAAATAAGAAGTTCATAATGAGAAAAACTTGTTCAACCTTTTGCTCGAATTCATCACTTGATGGATCATCATTGCCAGGTAGAGTTCATAATGAGAAGAACTTGTTCAACCTTTTGCTCGAATTCATCACTTGATGGATCGGCATTGCCAGGTAGAGTTCATAATGAGAAGAACTCATCTGAAGAAGGAATAATAAATTCATAATGAGAAGAATTTGTTCCAACCTTTTGTTTGAATTAGTCACTCGATGGATCAAATTTTCCAGAGAAAGTTCACAATGAGAAGAACTCATCTGAAGAAGAAAGAAGAAGTTCATAATGATAAGAACTTGTTCAACCTTTTACATGACTCTATCACACAAAGAGAGATATCAGCATCAACTTTTCCAGAGAAAGTTCATAATGAGAAGAACTCATCTGAAGAAGGAAGAAGAAGATCATAATGAGAAGAACTTGTTTAACCTTTTTTTCATTACTCAATGGATCAACTTTCCATAAAAAGTTCGTAATGAGAAGAACTTATCTGAAGAGGAAGAATTTGTTCAACTTTTTGCTAGATTACATCACAGAAAGAGATGAATTGTCATCCCCAGTGAAAGAGTTCATCAACATTTCTATCCTAATCAAGATAAAACAAATGGACAGAAACTTATCGTCTTTTTCATCTTTTCCATATTCTTGTTAACACAAGAATGGGCAAAGAGGGGCAGCTGAAGACACTAGTTTTTGTCCATTCGTTTTTACTATTTTATTATTATTAATAATTAATAATAATAATATTATTATTTATTATTATTATTATTATTATTATTTATTATTATTATTATTAATTTTATTATATTACAGGCCCAAATTACAAACCCAACCCAGAACCGGCCCAGACTATATGGAAACCCTAAACATTTGGGGTTTCAACTAGCGTCGCCACCGCTCCAAGAGTTCCAGTGAGTTACAGCCGCCCCACGCCTCCAACTGCTTCTAGAAGCCCAAGCCAGATGTCTCGTCCAGTCGATGCCGACGCTTCAGTACTGCCACGACGCCTCTGACGACACTCCAGAAGTTCTGCTGCCACGACTCCGACCGTCCACGTCGCAGCTATGGGGTGAGTCACCACCTAGCTCGGTGACTCACCAGAAAAACCCTTTAGACTGGTCCGATGAGAGCCTCGTCGAGGCTTATAAAAGCCACGAAGAGCCTGCAAAACAAAAAGAAGGGAACGGAGACAAGAGCAAAAAAACGAGAGGAGACGGAGAGCAACCCAAAAATAGAAAACAATAACCAAGAAACCAACAACAAACATCAACAATCGAAAATAAAAACAGAGAAGAGAAGAACTTACCCCCGAGATACCAAACGTCACCGGAAACTTTTGTAAACCGAGGTAAACCTTCGGTTTTTGTTTAGATCTACGTCAATTGAAAGAGTTTTAGGAGAAAAAGAAACTTGATTTGGGTTTAGGGAAATAGAGGATCGATTTAGGCTATTTTTCCAAACTCCGGCCACCGTTCACGGTGGCCGGCGATGGGGATCGGAGCCGGAGCATGGTGGCCTGATCCCTCCAGCGAGGGAATTTGTAGAGAGAAGGCAGAGCTTCTCTCTCTTGAGAGAAGAGAAGCAGAACAAGGAAATGAGGGAGACCGGCCATTTTAGGCCAGTTTTTGGGCTTAAATACCCCTCCCCGAACGACGTCGTTTTGGGGGAGGGGTATATGTGTAATTTGATAAAGTGTAAAACCCTTTCCGCAGCCCTTCTAAGTTTATAATGCTCTTAATTTAGTCACTGAAATCAATTTTAATAAGTTTAATACATCTTCTAACTTTATTAATTTATAATTTAGTCTCTGCCAGTATTTATATATTTTAGGATAAATAATAGATTTAATCCTTGTAATTTTAATAAATTTTATTTTAATCCCAAAATAATTAATTAAGGCTAAATTTGAATTAGGTCTTTAAATTTTATTATTTTACATTTAAATTATATTATTTCAATTATGTTTATTTTAGTCACTAAATTAATAATAAGGTAAAATAGCATGTTTAGCCCCTATAATTTTAAATGATTAATTACTAATTAGGGTATTTAAGTTTTATATGTTATAATTTAATCACTACTTTCATTTTAAACCAGTTTTATTACTGTTTATATTTCAATATTATAGTTTTAATTACATTTATTATTTAAATATATTTTAATATGTTTTCAATATATTTAATTATTATTATTATTATTTAGTCATATTTATTTATTTATTTTATTTATTTTTCTATTAAAATTCTATTTATAAATCTAATTTTATAAATTACCTTTAAATAAAAATAATGTTATTTTAATATATTTATTTATTTTCAATATTAAGAAAGGACAATCTTAAAGTAACTGGATGTCCATTTTCTGATATTTTTAAATAAATAAATATTTTACTTTTTTAAATTATATATATTAATCTATTTTTAATTATCTTTAGATAAATGTTCTAATATTTATTTATTTTTTAATATCAAAGAAAAGAGTTGTCTTAAAGCACCTAGAAGCCCTTTTTGATATTTCTAAATAAATATCTTATTTATATGTATATATAAATTAATAAAATTTCTTAAAATTATAGTAATAAATTTGAAATAACATGATTATGAATTAAATATATTTCAATAATAGAGACAATTTATAATTAATAAAGTACCAAATTTTGGCGTTGTGGGAGTGTTAATCCTTCCCCAAACGTAATCGACCACGAATCCCTTTTTATTATTAAAAAGAACGAATTTTTGGTTAAAACGCATACCAGTTTATCTTTTAACTGATGTTTTCTTAAAAACTCTTTTAAAAGATAATTTTTAGATATTCGACCTACCTGACCCAAAAGGCCGATGGCGACTCCCAAAACATTTTAAAACCATTTATTCACATCGTTTTTCCCGCCAAATAAAAAATTTGTACCCGGGTGAAAACCGGTTACGACAGTTGGGTGTAGGCTGCACGCATAGCTGTGGCGGAGAACGGAAAAGAAGTAGATAAAAGTGAGGATTGCATGGGACTGAGTTCCAACATCTTCATTTTGGCTATATGATTTCATTTTTTGATAATTAATTGAGGGTTATAGGAGAACACTAAACCTGTAAACAATTATAGGGCTGGAGAGATCGAGAAAATTGATCAAATTCTAGTAAACGTGTATAACTATTGACCTGGGACCATACGTCTTATTCGTGCATAACTATAAGATGAGAGTAGAAAGCAAAAGCACTAAAGCTAGTAGGCCCCAAGGGGCTCACCATTGCCGTGTCTTTTTTCTTAGACCCATAAAAAACCCAAGTAAACTTGATTTGTGATGTCTATAATACATATTTATATGTTGATAAGATGATTGAGACTAGTTTTTGCTCAATCTCCTTAGGGTGGCTTCTACGGTTGTGATTAATGAGTTGAGTAGCTTGAGAGCATGTCGAACTGACTCAGTCAAAATTCGATAAAAATTCAACTCGAGTTGACTCGATTTGAACTCGAGCTCGAATCGAAACCTTAATGAGATGAGTCAAGCAAAGTCTAACTCGGCTGATAAGTTCGCGAACAGCTCGTTAAATTTTAGTAGTTATTTTAAAAATTATTTCATTAAAAAAATTATAATTTGCTAATAGATAATAAAAATGACAAATTACTAATCCATTAATTTTCTAATAGATAATTAAATATATTAAATTACTAATTAATAATTATTATTTTACTTCACCAAAAAATTAAACCCTAATTATTATTTTAATGTATTTATGGATTGTTATTTTGATGTTTAAACTTTGAAATTATTTTATACACTCTTTTGATAATTTTTTGATTAAATTTGTTAATTTATGTTTATAATAAATTATATATAGTATTAATAGATTTTACTTATAGTTAAAAAATAAAATAAAAATTCCACATGTCGAGTAGGTGAAACTAGGGAAACTAGGGCGCTTAATGAGTTGAGTAGCTCGAACTCGACTGATCAAAACTCGATAAAAACTCAACTCGAGTTGACTCGACTCGAAACCTTAATGAGCACTAGTCGTGTAAAATTTTAAGAGTTTAACGAGTAATGATTCGAGTCAAACAATAAAATTTTTTAATGAGCACGAGTCGAACAATGCCCAACTCAAGATCAACTAGCTCGATAAACACCGACTTCAAAGCTCCAACCCATAAAACTGATGCAAGCCTAACGACTCATTCAACCATGGGAAAGGAGGAAATTTAATTTTCTCTAACTATAGTTTTGATCTCATACCATTAACTTGAATCCATTGATTTATGACAACTGCTTTGAGTGCTGCTATTTGTACCATCATGACTGTTTTGATTACTCCTCCAAAAGCATCAACTCTTTCAACCATGGGAAACGCGGAACTTTTGGTTTGAGCTCATATCTTTCTTTATTCATTTTTCTTCAAATACATATCAGATTCAGTTCAAGATATCACAATGATTTGTATAATTCATACTGATTGATCACCATACACATATTACATTCTTCAACCTTGTTACAGACACAAGAAAACATCATTCTTCCTACGTCTTTTGGCCTGAAATTCATTTGACTCCGCGTTTGCAACGAGTATAAACAGTGCAAGGCCGATAATTCTTACCTATAGGCTTTATGCAGTTCCCGTAGATATTTGCATTGCACACCGGTGGTCTCTCCAACCCTTTATAAGAAATATAATTTGGACCTGAAACAAGAACCCTCTGCTCCAAAAACAACAATTCTTCTTCTTCTTGGTCTTCAATCAATCCACCAATTGTTTCATCATATGATGTAGTATTCGTTTTGCTTACTGCTGCTTTTGCCAGACTGCTGCTGAATAGGGTTAACAGCAAGCAAGTTAAAAAGAAGCTTGAGAAAAATCCCATTGATCCTCTCTTCATCGATCTCACAACTTTGAAAAGAGACAGTGGGACTAAATAGATATTTATTGGCAGATTATGTACAAAAAAGCAGGAAACCAAGGATAAGAAATGAACGGGTATCGTTTCATTGATTGGTTAAGGTCTTATAATGGAGGGGCCTATGCGATTTCGTCTTCAAATTTGGTGAAAGAAAACGACGGTGCTCGTTTCTTGACTTGGTCAAGTTCATCTTTTTAACATGGAATTAGGAGAAAATTAACAATTTTCCATCCATCCCCGTTATTTTCCGGCGAAGAAGGTCGATGAAAATTAGTACACAAGGGGCTATCAACCCATCACTCAACGTCAAGAGTACAATAATTATAGTTTGTCAATACATGGAGTTGTCCTGGCATCATCCAAGGAGAGTTGGTGAATTCATGAATTTTTTTAGGGAGAAGAATCAAAGCATAAACTTTTTAAAAGGATGGAAGTATAGTTCTTACTAGATTAATTAAATTTTTATGTTTTTTAAGAGATTATAAAGCAATCTTTCCGCTGTTCCCTTGATTTCGCCCTTAAGAAAAGGGAAGAAAATGGAACCCCCACCGTTACCAACATTAACAAAATTATTATGGAAATTACAATCATCAAACTAACAAGAGAAACGGATTAAATAGCTAATTTAAACTTAATAGCCTTGAAGCATCGCTGAATTCCTCGCTTGCATCGAGTATACACGGTATAAATAAGTACAAACCTAAGCCTTTAGGTTAAAAAGTAAATTTATAAAATTTTAAAAAGCTAAAAATATATTATTAATATATAATATAAAAAAATTCAATTATGTAAAAATTTAAAATTTTAAAAGTAACAATCGCTTTTATCAATTTACTCTATCTATCTCGGAATATAAAACTGTACGATGCCCCAATGGGTACTATACAAGCTTCAAATTTTTTGAATAGTTTGTGTTCTTCATCTTCCCAAACTACATCAACAGATTCATGCAGAATAAGTATTATGATTAGTGCATCTTCCATAAGACGCGTTAAAGATAGATCCTAATTATTTTTTAGCACGGGATGAAAATAAGAGAAATGACCCTCAATTTAATTTTTTTTAAATGTAATATAAAATTTTTATTAGAATTTTTTTATTAAAATAAGCAAATAGTAATTCATTACAATATTAAAAATGTTAAAAAACATATTTAAGCATATAAGTACTTATAAAAATATTGTTTTTGAATATTTCTTAATGCAAAATCATCGATGATAGTGTTAATATTAATGTTTTCTAACATATTTTTCTCAATACATAACACATCATTTGAAAATAAAAGAAAATTCTTATCTAAAATTTAAAAATATATAAAAATCAAAAGAAAAAAAATTGAAAACAGGATCTACCTAGAATTTGAAGAACAATCTTCAATATGATTCAACCACCAATTGATGATAAACAATTGTGATGTTGCGTGAGAAATACAATAAATTAGAAAAAAATGAGAATAATAGTTTCCATAAGAATCATGAAACATGGAAAAGAAAATAAGTATGGAAGAAAAAATAACATTAATAAAATTTTTATTAAATGGAAAATCGATAAAGAGATGAATTAATAGTAGGGATTTATAAAGACCAAAATTAAAGAGATTCAATTGAATTTTTTTATTATTTTAAGAAAAAATATTGAATTAATTTTTTTTGAGAAGAATAGTTTATTAAAGTTAATATAAAAATTCAATAATAACACGTCACTTTACTAAATTCAAGGGTCTCCTTAAAAAAGTATTATATAAAAGGAATTTAATTTGTGAGCCTGGACTCACATCCCTCCTGCCCTGGCTCAGTGTCAGCTCTGGACGCACTATATTTCCCATGTCTTCTAGGCAACACTCCAATAATCGCTCAATTTCAAAAATTAATTTTCTTATCATCAATCTTTTTCTTTCCACCATCCCATTTGATCAATATTACCCTCAGCGGCATATGTGACGACGACCTGATGTCAGTCCTCCTTGAAGGAGATGTACTAGATGAATGACCATCTTCGTTTACATCACGGAAGGAGTCCTTTCTCATACTTCTGAAACTAATAAAATTAAAGTTTGATTCTTCAAGTTATTTGGGTCCAATTACTTTTAAGGGCATTTTTAGTTTGAAACTAAAATAATTAAGATTGGTGCTATTTTTATATTCAAATATTTTTTTAGGTCTCAATTTCAAAAGTAGGTAAATTAAACTATGAGCTTGTATAAAGAACCTGAGATTTTGGTTTCAAAATGTACCAAGTTAAGTATGGGGATTTCTATTTGTTTTAGAGTGTTGAAATGTGTAAAATGTTTTTGTGAAGGGTTCTTGGGTTTTCGAGATTGTGAGAATAATTTATGCGTTGTGTCATTGCTAACGGATCTGAAGTTGAACATGAACATTAATTGACATTGGTGCAAGGGGTGTGTGTGGTGATGATAGTTGATGAACCTCCAAGGAAGAATTTGACGGTGTCTGAGAAAACAAAATGGCTATATAAAGTACCTAAAGTCTTGGTTTCAAATTGAAACATAAAAAACAGGTATCAAATTGAATATTGAATCTATGCTTAGCTACTTCATTAAAAAAAACTTAAATACCAAAACAAACTTTAAAAAGTTTAAATATCAAATTATATATTAATATAATAATAATACGATTTATAGAGGAGGTAAATGAATATTTTAAATTATTATTGTAGTTTATTGCCCAAACCATCTAATATCGAGCATTAATGGCCATTATCAAAGTGGAGAAACCTTTAACAGGTTAAATAGTAACCCTCCACTCCAATGTCCAATTCAAGCATCATTTCATTCGCCTCTCAAATTTGGCATCACTCATTATCCTCTATTGATTCTTAATAATTAATCCATCTGTTGCTGGAAAAATTGATGCAGGGAAGCTACCCCATTGAAACCAACTAAATAAACAGGATTTTTAGGTACTGATTTGATAGTTGTACAAATTAAACACGCATTAGTTTCATAATAAATCTTAGTTTTTAAAAATCGATATGAAAAAAAAGTATAAACTTACTAAAAATTATATAAAAAAAATTGGGGTGAAGTTCGGATAGGGATGTAAAAAGCTGACTCGATCTGTAAAATTAATTGAAATCAACTTGAGTCAAAACTGTTTGCAACCCGAGGTGGCGGTGATTCGAAATCGATTCGAGTCCGAACTAGTGCTGCCTGAACCTGAGTTTGATCTGAAAATTGTGGATCTAAATATGATCTATACCTTATCTGAGAATGATTTAAACCTGAATTGAACCGATAATATGATAACCGAACCTGACATGCATCCGATTGATATGAATTCGAACCCAAGATTAATCTGATAAATAATTGGTATTATCGACCTGCTATCAACATGGCATGTTATGAACCTGACATGTAATTGACTCAGCTTATAAATGATCCGACTTGTTATTGAACTGTTATGATATTTATATGAATTATAAATTACAATTGATGAAATCGTGAAATTTTGATAAAGTTATGAGATTTTGAATTTATAATAAACAAATGGTTAGTTGTGATAATTAAATTAATAAATTTATTTTTTATATTAATTATAATTATTATATCATAAAAATTAATTATAATCATTAAATTAATTTCATTAAATAATTTTTTAATGAACATAATTTTATTAAATTATATAAAATTAATTTAAATATTTATAAGTTAAAAATCTTAAAAGCCCTCTTGTAGTCTACTTTGTTTTTTATTTTTAAAACTTAAAAAATTTCCCTAATTTTACCACTTTGTCGTTGGTTTTGGAGAAGAATAAGGGAGGTGGGTCCCTTGCACATATGGTGTTAATAGTTTTAAGGATTTGTCAACGTGACAATTCATGTGAATCAAAGCTAAATAGATGGGAGCCTTGGATGAAGTTTTTTAATAATTAAAATTTTTAATATTTTTTACTTTTACCTTTATTTTAAAAAAATAAATTATGACATATATAAATATATATACATCCATCATACATATATATTGTCGGAACGTTCCTTAAGCTTTTGGAGCTATAGCGGGAATCGATCTAACTTAATATTGGAAAAGATTGGGTTTTAAATAAGGAACAGATAAATAGATCTGGAGTCACCATCGACCTTTGAGTTAGGTAAGTTGAATACTTAAAAATACCTTTTAAAATAATTTAAAAAAAATAATTTTAAAAGATAAAAAAGTGATGTGTGTTTACCATAAATTCGTTTTTGAAAAAGGGTTTGGGAGTCGATTACGCATGAGGAAGGATTAGCAACCCCACAACGCTCGAAATCGATACCTAAGCGATTATACGTCATCTAAGCAGGGCCAGGGCTAGGACGTTGGAGGCCCTGTGCAAATTCTAAAAAGAAGCCCTTGCTATTCCAGGGCCCTTGCAAATTTCCTTAGTAAAAATTACAAAGCTTGAATGAAGTATATATAGGAAGATTGTTGATATTACTAACTCAAATCCTAACGGTGTGGGATAGGGAGATCATGAAGATGAGCTCATTTCTCGTAAAGTGGAGTTAGACCCCCAAAAAATGAGATTTTTATTGTAATAAATCTAATTTTTTTAGGGCTCTTGCTATTCCGGGGCCCTGTTCCGTCAATCAACTTGTGTTTCCTGTAGCCCCGCCTCTTTCTAAGTATTGAAATTGGTAAATTCGAATATACCTTTAAATTATGATCCTTTTTAAATACCTTCCTTGTTAGTTAAGGGGACATTTCCATGGATTCTCCATACAAAATAATATTGCCCAAATTTTTAAATAAAATACATACATTAATTACATTAAAAAATTCATTCGGATATAAAATGTATTATTTTGTTCAAACAATTCTTGGAAACACACTCCATGTCAGTTAAGGCGTGTTTTTATAAATTCCTTGTGCAAAATAATATTTAAAAATACTACACTTAGCAAGAAATTAAAAAATATGTAAATGAAGGATTAAAATAATAAATATGATAACTTTAGGGATTAAACTATAAAACCAAAAGAAA